AACCACACACTTTTTTTTTTTAGTTAGGAAAAAAATTCTCTCCCCAATCATCTTCCTTCACTGAGACACATTCTGCAAAGCTTGATGACTGTCTCCTTCCCAGCTGTCCTTCTTGGAACACCTATTATATCTGAGTGTGGGTTGCAGACTCTACCAATGACCAAAGCAAAGCCAACCCTGGAATACCAGGGGTACATCCATACAAGCGCAGGCTAGATGAAGGGCAGTCTTGCAGTGACTGGGGTCTGGGAAATGAACTGGGTCAGGGCTGCTGGAGCCAGGAAGGGGTACTGCTGAACCACACCATCCACAAGATGAAACAAAACAAAACCACAACACAAGTCTGCAAATATTCTCTGGTACAGTCTAGGCGTGAAGCCTGCAGCCATAGGACGGGTCACACTTCATCCAGACAGGCTACCAGGTGGCCCACTAAGTGGGGGCACTCACCGGCTGGGAAACCCTCACAGCCAGCCAGGAAACAGTTCACATCCTAGAGGCACTCTTTGAAAACAGCCCAGCACTTGTTTTCAGTGCTGCAGCACGGAAAGCAGGAATTGGTTCCTGCAGGGCGATCCTGCACACCTCTCACCCCTCACCTGTCACTGGGCCATGTAGGTTCTACAGATGTCTCAAGGTCATCTCCAGGATGTCAGCTGTCTCTAGTTTTGTGTGCTGGGAGCTCTGGAGGCAGGAACGTAGGATGGATGGCAAGTTAGAAGTATCCTACATTCTGGATCTTAGGATCTGAGGGCAATAGTAAGCCCTGAGAACTGGAGACCCTTCGAGTGCTTCATCGAGTGCTCACATCCTTTCCATGCGCATTCAGGATGATGGTCTGGAGCAGAACCAGGCTCGCGTTGATGAGCGCTAACCGCCACTTCTCCGTGACTAGCTTGGAGGACTAATAGGTGGAGCAGCGGTTGGGTCAGGTGTTTCATGTCCCTTTCTTAACCTTACAGTTTTCGGCTGCGTGGTCAGTCTTGTCTGGGGTCCAGCTAGAGCTGGTCAGAGCTCCTCTGAGTGGTGAAGCGCTCGACTTCCCTGGAATGTCCACCGGCATAATGCACCAGGCGGGCTAGTGAGCGCAGAGTTGGTGCGCTCCTACAAACTTGAACCTCTAGCCGGTGAATTGAGAGCTTTAAAAGGGCAGTGGAGCGGCCGGGCCTGTGAATCCTACTTGGCTTCCGTTCCCACACTACTCTCAACCAATGGGAGGGTCAGCTTCCGGTCCGGCCTGCGGCCCGCCCTCTCTGGCTGTTACGTGCAGCCAACCACCCCACACCTCCCCATTCCCTACCCCTCCCCTGCCTGACCAGTGACAAAGGTGAACCGGGCGCTAAAGTCCACTACCGCGAGGACAGAGCACCAAAAGGAGCTCACTAGTTAGAGGGAAGTAAGTAATTCCGGTACAGGCTCCTGAATTACTTCCCTTCTAAGGGAAAGCACCGGTGGACTTGGGATGCAGTTCATGAGCAACTCGTAGGAAACCCAGAAGGGAATTTCTCCAAAGGCTAGAAGACAGATTCTCAGTACTGCGAAGCCGGGACCCATTGCGTCTCCTCGTGCCCCTTCTCTGCTCAGTTGAACACCATTTACCCATGTGCAATGCAGTTTCCAACAAGGAGCATGAAACACCGAGGCCTAGGAACAAGATGAACTAACACCAGCTACAGAGACTAGAGGAAGGTCAGCTGATACTGCATGGCAAATGGAAGGACACTTTCATGTAATGTAAGGATAAAGATGATATGATAAAAACTAGATAGGATGATGTCACAGAGCTAGTGATAATATTCTGGATTAGTCCACTGCTAACTAGGTTCAGCAAAAAAATTCAAGAAAAAAAAGAGAGAGAGAGAAAGAGAGAGAGCAAACTGGCCATAGTTGCATTCGCCTTTAATCTCAGCACTCAGGAAGACAGAGGCAAGCAGATCTCTGTGGGTCTGAAGCCAGCCTGGTCTACAGAGTGACTTCTGGGACAACCAGAGCTACATGGTAAGATCCTACCTCAAAACACCACTCCCCACTCAAAAAAAAAAAAAAAAAAGGCAAATAAAATCTTTGTTTTTTTTCAAAGGAGAACAAGAAAACAGGGCCATAGGCTAAAGAGATGGCTCATCTTCCAGAGGTCCTGAGTTCAATTCCCAGCAACCACACAGTGACTCACAACCATCTGTAATGAGATCTGGGTCTCTATTGTGGCCTGCAGGGACACATGAAGGCAGCAAACTATATACATAATAAATAAATAGATAGATATGTTTTTAAAAAAAGGTTTGTTATTATTTTCATGGTTGCTATTGTTTTCATTCTGAGTTACACTGCAGGGCATACAGACATTACAAAAAATCAGATTCTCAATCACAGACTAATTAGCCTGGCAGTTGCCTGCATGTATTAAAATCCAATGTTGGGGCCCTGAGACCACAGTGGGGGCTAAATGCCCTAATTCTGTTTCAAATCTGTCTTAGTAAGTCACAGAAAGTGACTAGTTTGTTGGGTTAGAGAAAATGCCATTTCTATCGGGTTGTTCCAAAGTCTTCACAATTGGTTCTTCAGAGAGAAGGAAGCTTTCGAGAGGTTAGGTAGAGGGAATGGCTCTCCCAGAGTATTCTAGAAAGGGAACACAGTGAAGAAGGGAAGGGGTACTTTAGGGACCACAGGACAGAGGCTTCTGGCCCCAGAAAAGGTCTGGAGAACTTTAAGGAGCTTTTCTAAATAACAGAGTAAGCCAGCTGGTGCTGAAAAAAGTCTTCATCCACCTAGTGTGTGAAGTTGATGGCTGGAAGGTAGCCTCTAACCAATGCCTATTCCAGAATCCCTGAAAAGGACCATATCTAGTTACCTTCCCAGAAGTGGTCTCTCATTCTCTAAGGCCAATCCTAGTCTGGTTCTAGTTTATACCTAAAAGAATTCTGCTTCTCAGCTCTAGGAAGCCCTTTCATGATCCCAGTGCTGAAATATACCTCAAAAGCCACTCCTTTCAAGACTGGAGATAGGTAGAGAACAGAGGTTCAATGTTTCCCTCACACACCCATGCCTTGTGGTAGACAGCAAGGCTGGGCTATGGTCTCAGACGTGGGATTATGCTGTGCCTTAGGAAGGAGTCTGTGTGGAATCCCCCTGATCTCTGAAGTCTTCAGAAACCAAAAAAAAGCAGCCAGGTGGTGGTGGCACAGGCATTTGATCTCAGCACTCAAGAGGCGGAGGCAGACAGATCTCTGTGAGTTCAAGGCTGAGTTCCAGAACTGTCAGAGCTGTTACATAGAGAAACCCTGTCCAGAAAAAGAATGAAAGGAAAGAAGGAAGGAAGGAAGGAAGAGAAAGAAGGAAAGCAAGTAAACAGGGGACATAGAGATGGGAGATGTCATTCTGTAAATAGGTTTCTCATACTGGTTGGCCAATAGGAAAGCAAGATAGGCGGGACTAGGAGACTAGGAGGATTCGAGGAAGCAGTAGGGAGGAGTCAGCATGTAGAGACTGGAGAGAGCAGAGGTCTGGGCCCACTCTCCAGTAAGATGAGACCATGTGAAAATACTTAGATTAATAGAAATGGGTTAATAATTAAGACAGAGCTAGCCCATAAGAAACTAGTACCTGGCCAACAGCATTATACCAAATACAGAGTCTCTGTGTGTTAATTGGGGCTGGCGTGGTGGTGGGACAAGACCGGCGCCGGGGAAAACTACTCCTTACAACATAGAAGGAAGAGAGTTCTGGAACCCCATCCCCTCTCTAGGTGCCATGCTGATATTTAAGGTTAACTTGTGAAATGGGCTGTCTTTGTTCATATGGTGATTGGAAAGAAAAATAAGATCCTACTCCTTTAAAAATGTTTGCTGTTGGACTGGGAAGATGGCTATGTGGAAAGTAACTAAAGAAGACACTCAACTTTAATCTCTGACCTCCACATGTACAAACACATATAGGCATACATACATGCAGAATGAATACATAAACAAAATTTATATATCCGATTCCTTCTTTTAGACTCCAAGGTCACCTGTACTCACATATGCACATATGAAGCCTCACCCCATATCCACATAATTAAAAATAAACCTTAGAAAAAAATCTGGGGAGTAAGTATATAACTCAGTTGTTAGAGTACTTAGCATGCATGAAGCTCTGGGTTCCATCCCCAGCACTGCAGGAATTGGTATAGAAGATGCATGACTTTAATCTCAGAAATTTGGACAGGAAAGAAAGGAGGATCAGTTTAAGGCCAATTTCATAGTTTGAAGCCAGCATGGACTGCATAGCAGGACTAGCTCAAAAACAAATCCATCTGACTCAATCATTGCCTCTTCATATAAGCAATAAGGTCTTAGTAAACTGTTCTAGAATAGAAATGCTTCCTACTGGCCAGATGGTGATGGTGGCCAGGGTGCATGCCTTTAATCCCAGCACTTGGGGGGCAGATCTCTGTGAGTTTGAGGCCAGTCTGGTCTATGGAGCAAGTTCCAGGACAGTCAGGGCAACACAGAGAAAACAATAAGAAAATGCTTCCTATACCCCCCAACCCCATCCACCCCCCCACCCCACCCCCACCAACACATTCTGATAACTATTGTTCTAAACAAATAACCAATAGTTGTTGTCTTTGGGCAGTTTTGATTGGCACTACTTTGTGCAGTTTCTGAATTAATTATTGTGGCATTTTCCAAGATAACTAATTTCCAAGCTGAAAAATTAAAAATAAGTTTCCCATTATTGGTTCCTATTATGACTTCTACACGTCTTGTAAAGGATCTGAAATGCTGGATATTTAGGGGATTTCAGAGTACAAAGGTCTCGCTGTGGTCTTGACACTGGGAGCCAGTCCCTTTTCTTCCCAGCTAGTTTCTTTTCATTCAGTTTTGATTTTCCCATTCATTTAAGGCATGCCCTTGGGAAAAGGAAACCGAAACAGAAGGCATCTCTGACGTTTGAAGACTCCGCCCCTTGACACCTACAGCCCCAAAACTTAAAAGAGCTGTTCTCTCTCACATCACTCTAGATGTGAGAGAGAGCAGCCAGAGCCTTGACAAGCAGACTCCTCAGTTCCTGCAGGGGACCTAGTGCTCAAGCCTACAACCATGGTGAGTCCTGTTTGGGGCAGGAACAGATGGGTTCCATTCTAGTTGGTTTTCCTCCATTCCTTGATAGGGTCTTCTATTTTACCGAATAGTCACAATGTGGAAACAGATTATAGTTGCTCAAAGACCACTATGAGGGAGGGACTTAGGTTCCTTGTCTGCTCAGCTACCAGCCCTAGATCCCTTAGGGTTGGACCCAGAAGGATATCTTGGTGGGTGAACTGAAACATGATGGTTATGGGAGGTTGGCCCTTTAGAACTGACTCCTCTGTATCATTCCCCATACATGGATGATCCCCTCCTCTGATGGAGGAGAGGATGGGCATGGGGTATGGGAACTGATCCTGTGACCAGAGCTTCAGATGTGGTAACTTCCAATACTGGTGCCAGAGGAGTCTTTAAACCAGTGGTTCTCAGCCTGTGGGTGAAGACTCCATTGGGGTCAAACAACCCTTTCACAGGGGTTGTATATAAGATATCCTGTATATCAGATGTTTACATTATGATTATTAATAACAGTAGCAAAATTAGTTATGAAGTAACAATGAAATAATTTTATGGTTGGGGGTCACCACAAAATGAGGAAATGTATTAAAGGGTAGCAGCGTTAGGAAGGTTGAGAATCACTGCTGAACCTATGTGATGCCTACAGACCTGTAACCTGAGGGTGAAGATGCTGGGGGGTGATGAGTTCCTGGTGCCCCTGACTCACTCCATGACGGTGTCGGAACTGAAGCAGCTGATTGTTCACAAGAGTGGTGTGCCAGCTTTCCAGCAACGCCTGGCCCATGAAAGTGGCAAGATACTACAAGAGAATGTTACCCTCATCAGCCAGGGCCTGCGTGCTGGCAGCACAGTCATGCTGATGGTACAGAATTGCAACAACCCTCTGAGCATCCTGGTGCGGAATGACAGGGGCCGCAGCAGTATCTATGAGGTCCGGCTGACACAGACCGTAGCAGAGCTTAAGAAGCAGGTGTCCCAGGAGGAGCACGTACAGGAAGATCAATTCTGGCTGAGCTTTGAGGGAAGGCCCATGGAGGACCAACAGCCACTGGGGGAGTATGACCTAAAGCCCCAATGCACAGTGTTCATGAATTTGCGTCTCCGAGGGGGGGGGTATGCTATGCCTGAGGCCTCTATCTGGAGCCAATATTGGTAATAAAAGATGATGCAATGAGAAGTTCTGCCTCCTGTACTTGTCCTTCAGAAATGCCCATCTGTTACCTTCTCTTCTACATTCCTGCTGAGGTCAGGTGAAAGAACCCAAGTCTATCCACTGTGACAAGACCTTGTATTGCCAAGTTAAGGGACAAGGATTTAACAGTTAGAGCCTAGTCAGAGAATTCCCTTTTGGGTAGGTCACTTCTAGAGAAAAATGCTTTTTTTCTAGGACCCAGTTCTGAGCCTCTGTCAGCCCCTCAACAACTGGTCCTCAACTCTATCTGGTGCAGGGACAGATCCTATCTGTAATAGGATGGTAATAGGATGAGGTTCCTAATGGGACAAGTTCCTAATGGGAAATAGTGAAGGAATGTTCTTGGACCTACCTGGGTGGGCTGTGGAGGAGGGTGATATTCTTTTGTGGTTGTTTCTAGTCCCACCAGCACTAGTTCATAGAAAGGTAGGGCAGGGCCTCATTATTCACATGAGCCAGTTGCTATTTAGGACATGGGTGGTTAGCAAGTATACCTCATCAGAATTATAAAGAGGGCATTATTGGCAGGTAAGGGGGCACCTGGAATTGGGGCCTCACCTGTCCATAAAGGAAATCCTATCTCAGATAAGAGGCACCCAATTTGGAAAGCCTTCATCTCCTTCCTGCCTGATATTTCTTTCTCTTGTCTTTTACCTACTCTAGCTACTTACTCAGGCTTTGAGGCAGCTTAAGGCACAAGCAAGTCAGGACAAGTACCTTTATGGTCCTTGGGGGGGGGCTTACATTTCAACCTTCAGACTTTAATTAATTTATTTTTGGTTTTTAGACATAGGGTTATTCTGTGTAGCTTTGGAGGCTGCCCGGAACTCCCTCAGTAGATCCACTGCTCTGCCTCCTGAGTGCTGGGATTAAAGGCATGGGCAACTACCGCCCTGCTCAACCCTCAGACTTTTAAACAGAATTTGCGTGGAGACTCAGAAGTCCCCACTTTTGGTTGGTGTGTTAGTGCATATTTGGGTCAGGTGACCCAAGGTCTAGGGTGTTGGTGTTCACTGTGTAGATATGACATCAAACCTTCACTGACCACCCCCTTCCCTGAAGCCTGCCAGGGCTGGTGGTAGTATCTTTTTCTGGAGGAAGAGCTTCTGCCACCCACACTTTACTCTGACTTTTGGTTCAAACGCCTGTGGCCCAGGCACAGCAACCCCAGTATTGTGAAGACAGAAAAAGCAGTCTTCTCTCTTTCCTTCAACCTTCTGTAGATGCGAAGCTAGCTTAGTTTTCCTGGGCCTCAATTTACACCTTTTACCTAGCAAGGATAAGTTGGATAAGCGCCGGTCCACAGAGGGGGAGGGGAAGGAGGCGGGGCAGTGGTAGTTTCCGCAGCAAGACAAGAGAAGGTAGCCATAGGTCGATAAGGAGCATCCCACTGCCCCACCAAGCCCGAAGGCTGGTAGGCGGGTCTGAGCGCAATTCAGACTAGTCACCGCGGACCGGCCACCGGCAGGGGGCGTAGCCCCGCTGGTCTACCTTAGAGCCTATGGCGGGACCCCTGCGGCCACAGGAGCTCAGTGAGCAACCCTGCTGGGGGGGCCGAAACAAGGGGAAAGTGAGGTCCAGCTCTGGTAGCCTCTCCCATCCAGAGAACCCCGCCGCTCCCGGCGAGTCCCTTGGAAGTCCCGGCACGTCGCCCCTAGATTATACATTAACCTGATTCCAGCTGCATTTCCTGGTGGGAGGACAGTTTGGGCGGACGGGGGAAGGGCTCCCGGCGCCCCACCTTCCCCTCCCCCCAAGGCGGCCCGCCACCCACCCAGCCGAGGCCCCCGCCTCAGCTCGGCGCCGCAGTCTCCGGGCTTTGTTCGCTGCCCGCGCGGGTCGTAGGGAGCGGAGGCGGGCCGAGCTCCCAGGGGGAGGGGCGGCGCTGCTCAGTTCCCGCCCCTGGCCCGCCCCCACACCATCCTCCCTCCCACCTCCTCCGCCTAGCTGCGGTCCAGTTCTGTCCTGCCCCCTGAACGGTCCATCCCGCGCGCTCTCCCGGCTGTCTTCCGCCGTTCTAGGCTGCGCCATGGCCAGCCTGCGGCTGTGTTGCCCGGCCCCTCTGCTACCACTGCTGCTGCTCTTGGTGGTGGCCGAGCGCACCCTGCCCGGCGCCAGCGGGACGTGCCCGGAGCGCGCCCTGGAGCGGCGCGAGGAGGAGGCGAATGTGGTGCTCACCGGTACGGTGGAGGAGATCCTCAACGTGGACCCGGTGCAGCACACGTACTCATGCAAGGTGGGCCCCGGCAAAACCCCACGAGACCCCAGCCCTCTGGAATCCCAGCCGGGGGCCCTTTTCCCCGTGGTTCCCAGCCGCGAGGCCCGCCCTTCGCGTGCTGGCCGCCCTGCTGGGACCCCGGCCCCAAGCCGTGGGAACGAGACCGGAACGCTTCTGTAGCCCCAGCTCGAGCTCCCTTGGCGACCGCCAAGCCTGCGGGTGGGGCGCCAGGTCCCGGAAAACTCTGCAGCTCCGGGCGAAAGTTATTGCGGGGCCGTTGTGGTTGTTCTCACGGTGCCCAGGCCCCATTTGCAGTAGTGGCTGCCCCCCACCCTTGTCCAAAGCTCCTCTTGTTGAAAACAAGTGTACACCCTCGTCAAAGGAAAGGAATAGGGGTTGGGGAGGTGTGAGGTAAGGACGAACTCGGACTGTGATGAGGCCTCCACCAGGGCGAGAAGGGGTGGTCCGCAGAGAGAAAGGGGTGCGTAGTCTAATCCACAAGTACGAGGAGCCTGCGTAAGGTGCTGCAGTGGTTGGATTTAGGTGGAGCAAGAGCAGAGAGATGGGCAGAGAGCTATGGCTGAGTCTCCAGTGCACAGGGAGCAAGGGCAGGTGCTCCGTTCTCCTGGAAGAACTGGGTCTCCCCTACTATACAGTAGAAGAGTCAGCTCTGCTTCAACTAAAGCTGGATTTGAAAGCACCTTGGAATAGGTATAGTGTTGCTGGTTCTCCTAGCTCCTCAAACCACTTCACTCGAAATAGGATCGTTCTTGTTCCTATGGGAAGGATGGTGACTTTCCGAGTAGCGTGTGTTCATGGGATCCCCCGGCTGGGCCCCCTCCTCTCACTGCCAAGGCACTTTGCCAAGTCCCTGCAGGATTTTCCCGACTTCCTCCCCGCTGCTCCTGGGTGTGGCTGGGGTGGGGGAGGTGTGAAAACTGTGAGCTTCCCCCTGTTTGGGTTATCACCCTCAATAATTTACTGGGGGTGGGGGGTCAGGTAAATGAGATTCCCCAAGTCCATAGGTGTTGCAGTTCTGAGGTGCCTAGCAGGAGCTAGGCAGATGAACAAGCTGCTCCTTGTCTTTTTGCTCCCTTCATTCCAGGAGCCTAAAACCCCTAGAGCACCTGAAGAAGGGGCCCCTTCCTAGAACTCCTTTCCAAAAAGCACCTGGGCTCCTGGACTTGTCCTGTGGGTGCTGCAGGCTACACCCTCCAACCATGTCTGTCAGAGGGGTTGCCCTCAGGGCCCCAAAGGAGAAGGAGGAGGGTGGGGCCGACTTGCATTGCCCCAACTTGACTTTGTGGTTCAGAGCTGCCTTGGCTGTACAGACTGTGGCAGACTGTGGAGCAAAGAAGTGGGTCTTTACTTCCTGGGGGAGGTGTCAGCCCACACACAGGGTTGTAAAGATTCCAGCTGGGATCTTGCTCTTAAGTCCCTTCATCTAAAGTGTCTGGTCCTGCGTGGTAGTGAGCTAGGGGGCCTAGAATATTGGCACTGCACGCCAGACAAGCCCTGACTGAGATGGACCATTGTAGTTGGACCTGGGCTGGTTAGACCTGGGGTGGGAATATGCTTAGGAGGGATGCCTTCTTATTGTGTGTCGTATGGTAGGTGTCTTCTTCCCTGCAGCGTTTCCTGAGGGGCTGACTCACAGAATTTTGAACATCTCTGCTCAAGGCTGGAGTCCACTATGGACACTGGCTTGAGAAGAGGGGAAAGGGTCCAGGTGTCCAGTCTGGCATCCTATCCCTGTTGGATCAATACATTTTTACTTCCATGTCCACTCAGGTTCGAGTGTGGCGGTACTTGAAAGGCAAAGACGTGGTGGCCCAGGAAAGTCTGCTAGATGGTGGCAACAAGGTGGTGATTGGTGGCTTCGGAGACCCCCTTATCTGTGACAACCAAGTGTCTACTGGGGACACTAGAATCTTTTTTGTGAACCCAGCACCACCCTACCTGTGGCCAGCCCACAAGAATGAACTGATGCTCAACTCCAGCCTTATGCGGATCACTTTGCGGAACCTGGAAGAGGTGGAGTTCTGTGTAGAAGGTACGTGCATGGTGATGGTGCTCCTTTAAGGGCCACTGCCTTGCTGATGGTGACAAATTTTATAGGATTGTGGGGGCAGGCTACAGAGGAGAGCTTGCCATAGGCAGAAGAATAATCATTCTGCTACATTATTGCTCTTGGCTATGTCTCTAGCTACAAAGATTAGACAGACACCCTAACCTCTGATATTAACTGTCTTTGGTCTTGGAGCCATAAATAAGGTGCTATCTTGTAAAAGACAAAAGACAAGTATGTCTGCTCTCTCTCTCTCTCTCTCTCTCAGCACTCCACATTCCCCTTTGAAAGGCCCTTTGATATGGAACAAGCTGGAACCCACCTGTCTTATCCTTCCAGAAGTCCAAACATCTATCTTGATCCATACATACATTTGAGTAAACCCCTGTGACTAGGCATAGGAGTTTGGAAAGTAGGGATTGGTCAGTGTGTGCCAGAGGCCCACCATTTGTAGAAGAACAACTTTGTAGGATTAGGATGCCATCCCCTAGAAGGTGGATAGAAATATATGACCTTCCAGCTCTCCCCTCTCTCCTCCTCAGGACAGCCCCAGTTGGTGACTGAGACCCTTGAGGGGAAATGTGGTAAAGAATGCTTTCTTCTCTCCTTGCTACTGCATCCTGTCTGTTCCCTCATGGCTAGCTGGAGAGAGATGTGGGGCTGGGGACAGAAACTTCCTTCTCAGAGCAGTGGCACGGG